TCTCAAGTATTCAAATTTGTGTCAAATCGTGTACCAATCACACAGATATATACAGTGGATATTGCTTTTAGAGCTAATGATAGATCGTTTTGCTCCCAGAGATCTTTCACTGTAGTTCTTCCAATTGAGAAATTAACTTGTCACGAAATCGAATGTTAGGTCTCCCCACCAAAAATAACTTTGCTGGGGGTACAGGTACAGCCCGCAATTCTGATAAGCGTTTATTTATGCGTCATTTCCTGCCCCTATCTTATCCAAGCCAATGCTCGGGGAGATCTTGGTTGGCAGTTGTCGAGGCCACCAACAGAAGATTTCGGAGAGGCAACAACAGCCCAGCCCACGCCAGCAACAGTTTTGCACTCAACAAACATCATATGGCGCAAAATTCTGGTCAGCTGACCAGGCGCGGACCGGACAGGTTTGGTCTATGCGAGAGATTGTGCCGACGCCAGAGACTGTTGCCAATGGGGGGTATGCTATTGATGGGGCTGCTTATAGACGTGGCTACACACGATCGAGCCCCCAAATAAGTTATCGCACTGATTGTATAAGCACGAGCATACACATGCACATACATACATATCAATTAATAGCTATAGAGAACTACATATAGCATTAATAGATTCCTATGGCGTGGTATAAAATGATATGTCAGCTGTAGTTTTTTGCGAAACAAATAAGAACAGAAAAACAAGTGGACCGATACGCCCTGTTTTTTGTTTGCCTGATAAAGCCGGTTGCTAATCGTCTTGAGAGCATACTCCATATGTATTTCTGCTGCTGTTGTTTTCGGTTTCCTGAAGGTAAAAAACATAATATGAACGAAAAGAAAGGCCCCGAACCCAGCGGTGAGGTGAGGCTAAGGTAAATAGAGTTTCGGCGTCGCCAATCTTTTTCGCTGTCGTCAAGCGCGAGCCGCGGGTACAGTCAGCTCAATTTTGCCTCTGTCCCGATCAACGCAAGGCGATTCGGGGATCGGCTTAGCGCTTACTCAGCATAAAGTCAAAGAGCAGAGGAAGAGAACAATTAGGAAAAGGGTGTCCGTCCAGACCTTCAGATACCTGCTATCCATCCACAACGACAACTCTTGCGAGTTTTACCAAAAATAAAGATCTGAAATATTCTTAGATATGGATTTTAAATCGGTGTATTATTATAACTAGATATTTATTTATCCCGAGTATTTTATAAGTATTTGATGTATTTGATGTATTTGATTTCAAAGATTTTCAGTGCATAAAGTTCCCAAATTCAATTTATTTTAAATACAACTAACTCTTAATGGACTAACTCTTAATTAAACTAAACATTTGGCTGCTGTTTATCTAAATTATAAAGCCCCAAACATCCATAGAAATCATATACCTCAAGCACCCCTGAAATGAAACAATGGAATAACAAAATGTAAGGAGTAGCAGCTAAGGGCGCAATAGAATTTTGTAGTTGGCAAATTTGCACTCTCATTGAATTTTTTGTTGCTTATAGAACTTCTGTTCTCAGAACAAACACAGTTTCACAGCTGATAAAGCAATGATCTCATTGGAATAATGATTTTTTGTACTGCTCGTAAATGTCACCAAAAAAAAAACCCCCGCATAGCAACCGCAAATGAGGCGGCGATTCAAAAATCATTTGTGCTAATTTTAGTTTTTATAGTTTTGTTTTTTGTTTTTTTTTTATTTGGGGGCTCGTCCAACTTGTCGACAAAAGGAAATCCATAAACTGAAGCCAATCGATGGAACTTGCACATTGCGGTGCCGCAAACGCGAGACTTTTTATCGATCCATAAAGTTGGGTTTGGGGTCACTTTGCTGTTGCAAGTTTTTACAATGGATACTTGAAAGCTTGTTAAATTCGAATTATGAACTTACAGCCAAGTACGTACACAAAACACACAAAGAGCCATTCGGGTGTCATTATCTAATCGGCAATTTTCTTAAGAGATATCTTTATTTGTTCGCCACACTTCGCCACACTTAAAATTCTGATAAGGTCTATTGGGGTTTATGGGGTCTCACTTTTGGGACATTTGGGAATGTTGTTGCGACATCGGGGGAAAGGTTTCCCCCATGCACCGATTTCTGGGGCACGTGACGTGCGTTGGCAGCCAAGAAAAATTCTTCTCTCTGAGTCCACGAAACTTTTGCTTTCGGCCAAGAATTCTTGTAGTCTGGTTGATATTTTTAGCACATGTCTATTGGATTTAGGCCAAAAATGAAAGCTGCAACACACTCCTCCCCCCCACCCCCATCCCCAGGGTAGAGGGCTGTACTTTCAAGGTTTCACGAAACGAGCTAAACCAACACCTGTCGTATACGTAATATGCTCATCTGTTGTTATGCAACCGTTTCCGTTCTGCAATTGTTCAGGTATCCGCTTCTCGTTGGATGTGTCACGCGATGAGGTGAAAGCCCTGTCCGCCCTGATGACCTTCAAGTGCGCCTGTGTGGATGTGCCATTCGGCGGTGCCAAGGCTGGCCTGAAGATCAACCCCAAGGAGTACTCCGAGCACGAGCTGGAGAAGATCACCCGTCGCTTCACCCTTGAGCTGGCCAAGAAGGGCTTCATTGGACCCGGCGTCGATGTGCCCGCCCCCGATATGGGCACTGGCGAGCGCGAAATGTCGTGGATTGCGGACACCTATGCCAAGACCATCGGCCATCTGGATATCAATGCTCATGCCTGTGTCACCGGTAAGCCCATCAACCAGGGCGGCATCCATGGACGTGTCTCGGCCACCGGTCGCGGCGTCTTCCACGGTCTGGAGAACTTCATCAACGAGGCCAGCTACATGAGCCAGATTGGTGAGTAGTATTTCATTGGTGATATCTGAAAACGAAAAAAAAGGATTTTATCTACATATATATTTCTTTGACCATTAGGCACCACCCCCGGCTGGGGCGGCAAGACCTTCATCGTCCAGGGCTTCGGTAATGTCGGCCTGCACACCACCCGCTACCTCACTCGTGCCGGTGCCACCTGCATCGGTGTGATTGAGCACGATGGCACTCTGTTCAACCCGGAGGGCATTGACCCCAAGCTCCTGGAGGACTACAAGAACGAGCACGGCACCATTGTGGGCTACCACAACGCCAAGCCCTACGAGGGTGAGAATCTGATGTTCGAGAAGTGCGACATCTTCATTCCAGCTGCCGTTGAGAAGGTCATCAACAGCGAGAATGCCAGCAGAATCCAAGCTAAGGTAAGCAGCAGAACAGAACAAAGCTTTATGATATGCCAAATACAATGCTAATCCCCGTGAAATTATTGATAATTTTTAGATCATTGCCGAGGCTGCCAACGGCCCAACCACTCCCGCTGCCGACAAGATCCTCATTGATCGCAACATTTTGGTCATCCCCGATCTGTACATCAATGCTGGTGGTGTCACCGTCTCGTTCTTCGAGTGGCTCAAGAACCTCAACCATGTCTCGTACGGTCGCCTGACCTTCAAGTACGAGCGCGAGTCCAACTATCATTTGCTCGGTAAGTCTATCCACTGATCCATCTATGGAACAGCCGCTATACATTTGCCATTCTGCTCATCATCTAACTATAATTTTTCATCGATCGATCGGTTTATGGTTTCTTACGCTAAAACCTTTACAGAATAGCCACTGCTCTATAAGCATTTGCTCTTCCCAGTTTGGTTACCATTTGGTTTTTTTTTGGTTTTCTTCCAAAATTATCTCTTTTTTTCGATAAACCACACCACCAAACCACACCACCCTATCCAGAGACTCTAAGATTCTGGCTTAATTTTTAAATATCATCTAAGTAATTCGTTGTTTATTCTATTTCTTCTTTTTCTGTTTCTCTATCACCAATGTAGCCTCAGTCCAACAGTCAATTGAAAGAATCATTAATGACGGTACATTATTATTATTATTAATAATTCTTTTCGCTTACACCCCCCACCATCCCCTCTGTACAGTTTCTTAAACACTCTGTACCTGTACCTGTATCTGTTATCTGTAGCTTGATCCTTTGATCTTTGGTATACCTTTTTGTTTCTTTCGTGTATCGTGTTTGATTTTGTTATTGCATTTATCCTCATGCCCCCGCAAGAAGATTTATAAATACCATACTAAGATCCATTATACCTTCTGCTTTAATCCTGCTTCCATCCCATATATTTCTAACCAATTCTGTGTAGTTTTATCCCCTAAACAATTGTCTATCTGGCATGTTGCAATCTCAACTAATGGCTGTTCTCCCTCTCTCCATTTCTCCATGTGCCTGATCATATTATAGAATCCGTGCAAGAGTCCCTGGAGCGTCGCTTCGGTCGTGTGGGCGGCCGTATTCCCGTCACCCCATCTGAATCGTTCCAGAAGCGCATCTCCGGCGCCTCTGAGAAGGACATCGTGCACTCTGGCCTCGACTATACCATGGAGCGATCGGCTCGTGCCATTATGAAGACGGCCATGAAGTACAACCTGGGACTGGACCTGAGAACCGCTGCCTATGTCAACTCCATCGAGAAGATCTTCACCACATACCGTGATGCCGGTCTGGCCTTCTAAGCGCCAGCGGAAGAGACGAGCCCCGCAGACTCTTAATTAATTAGTTAATAAAGCATTCGAACTCAAGGGCAACAGCTAATGCTATTGCTCCATGCACCGCCGTTTTTAGATGAACTAAATGAAAACAAAAAAAATGTCACAAACTAAAATGCAAAACAAAAACCAATGTAATTTATAATATAGTACGGCAAATGGAGCGCTCGTGCCGGAAGAAATTCGTTTTAAATCGTTTTAAATCAAATCAAAGCAAAACAAACTTCGCCAGTGCTCTCGTGTTTTGTATTAAGTTGAACAAGTTGCGAGCTTATTATTGTTGATTTTTATTCTGTAATTTTTAAGTTGATGAACGTCCAACTGAAGCAATTGCATTTTCAAATATGTATCGTAGCGTATCGTAATGTCACGCGCGTATCGTACGATCCGTTGCTCCGTTGCCGTAACATTTAAAAGAATAATCAAATATACACAAAAATCTAAACTCTACAAAAAACCAGTGCGTACATCTTTAATTGTCTTGGCTGAATCACAATACAATACAAATTTGTTAGTCTCATCATTGATATACATATGCATATATACATACATATATATATACATATTTTTGTATATGTACGTTTGATTGGAATGTATCAAAATGATTGGTTCTATAATACTATAAGTACACTTTAGTGGGCAGATAATTGTAGAGAAGGGGGGAGGGGATACAGCATCAGTATCGTATAAAAATTGGAAGATCTACATATTACGAATTTCAATTGTAAAAACTCTTGGGCTTACTAGCTAAAGGATAAGGCTGTAAATGTCTTGTGTGCATATCAACGTAGTGCTACCGAATGGTTCAAATGGAGAGTCAAAGCGTCAATGACTTGGGGAACAACTGCTGCTTCGCATAGTCATCGATCATCTCCATGAGTAGGTCCCGCGTGAGGCGCGGGTGCTGCAGCACATAGCCAAAGTCTTTCAGTTTAGTGTTATCCAAGTAGAGATGCTTGTGATGGAGCTGCTCCTCGTCGAGGTATGGCGTTAGCGGGGTATTCTCAATGCCGTTGCGTTGACAAATCTCTGCCCAGGGTGCCATATGCTTGTCGTTGATCTCCCCCACCGTGTCCGTGGGGTAAAGCTGAACAAAACGAAACGATTGATTGGGTTTAACCAGCGCTTGGGTCTGAGCATGGCAGAGATGGCACCTACCTTGGTCAAGCTCGACATGACAATGCCAAAGTAGTCCACATTGATGTTGAAAATATCCACCAGCAGGTTGCTGATGCTCCCCTGCGTTGATGCTGAATCATCCACAATGTTGTAAACCTGGCCATTGGTTTTGGGACTCTGCGCCAGTTGCCAAATCGCGGCACACACATCCGATACGTGCACCGTATTCAGGCGCATGGCATCGTTCCAAAGCAGTTTCATTGTCTCGTTGAGGTATTTGTAAATGGCAGCGATTATAATGCGCGGCACTGTGTATGTGGGGTTGAATGGAATGGAAGAATGGGTGGGCAAGTGGTTAAGTTTCAATGTTGTTTGCAAATTGTACAAAATAATTATCGACTATCAATGCGACGCTGCGACTCACTTAAGTAGCGCTTATCGCCAATGCCATAGACAACGGGCAGGCGTACCACTGTGTAGCTGAGATCGTTAATGGCTGACAGTTCCTTTTCAACCTTCAGCTTCTGCTTGGCCACACCCGTCCAGGGCTCCAGTTTGCAGTCCTCCTTCAGCGGCGCCTTGTCGCTGCTGTTCACGCAGCCAGAGCTGAGCTCCACATAGCGCTTGACCCGCTGTGTGGCCGCCTCATTGGCACAGTGTAGGCTCAGCTTGAGAATGCCCTCCTTGTAGACGCTATCGTCTTGATTGGCACGCGTCTCGGCCGCACAGTTGATGACCACATCCCAGGCACGGCCCGTCGTTGGGTGTGGTGCAAACGCCAGCCTGACTGAGGCTGTAAAACACAAAAGGGATCCAAAACCAGTTTAAGTCGCGTACGTGGTGGTGAGCGTGTGCGTGAGAGCGCTAGGGCTGGGGCTGGGGCTGTTACTGTGACTGCAGCGTTGCATTGCCTTTACTTCCGCTGCAGTTGGAGTTGCAGCAATATTACATACCGGCATTTATTAAGTTGGCGCTGCAAAACTCAACTTTATCACTCTCAAAGGCCCTGGTCTGCTCCTCGTTCAACCAGGCCATTTGTGGCGGCGTCTTATCAGCTATGCGTATTTCCTGCGACAGTTCATTGTCCAGCAGATAAGTGAGCAAGTTGCGCCCAATGAATCCGCAGCCTGCAAGCACCACCATTAAGAAAATTAGCATTGCCAGTGCAGCGTTAGTCAGGTCAGTGATAAGCGGAAGCGTAGGCGTGGGAGGTCACTTACCACCCAAAATCAAAACAGTAGGTTTCTCAGACATGCTGCACACTCCACACAGTCCACCAGAATGAGTCAATCGAATCGTATACGGAAGATATACACAATATACACAAGATATACACTATATAATTTTTTATATGCAGCGCTGCCGCGCTGCGTCAGCGTGACCGTGACGATAACAATAAAAAATACCATCCGGCCAAAAAATAAATACCATTAAATACCATTTCAGTTTTGAGAAATACCATTTAAATACCATACTATAAAAAAACCAGGGCAATTTGGCGATCAACCCAGACTTAACCCACTTAACACCCCTCTATTTATTATTTATTTAAACAATCTGGCTTATTTAAAGCACAACCATTTATTGGATTACTTATGAAAAAAGGCTTAAGCAAAAAATCAAAATGAAAACGGAATGACACGTTTTAAGCCATGAGTATGGATGTTGTGTTTCGATACGCTATGTTCTTTAATTTACCGAGAAAGATCGTAGAGGTTGGAAAATGTATTCATTCAGCGTCCTTTAATAGAGTCCCCACTGGATCTTTTATCCTCCCTTGTTCTGAATGTCGTACCGATACGACTGTTTCATGTGACCAAATGCAGTACAACTGACATGGTCACACTTATGGCTTGAAATCCCGCGGCCATCATTGCGAATCCGCCATTTTGCGTAAAGCGCGCTGCCGAAGCACAATTTTTTTTACTTCAGAGAAAAGTAAGTGAATTTCAATCACGAAATTTTGTCCCCCATCATTGTGAATAATCTTACAGGAAATATTCTGCACGATGCCGGGTGTTACTGTGAAGGATGTGGACCAGCACGTTCTAACCAAAGTGCTGTCTGCTTTCTTAAAAAAATCGGGCAAGATTAATGTGCCTGAACAGGTGGACTACATTAAGACGGGCAAGTTTAAGGAAACGTCACCGACTGAACGCGACTGGTTCTACACTCGTTGTGCCTCCATAATGCGGCATCTGTACTTTCGTAGTCCGGCTGGTGTAGCCGCCTTCACCAAGGTGTACAGTGGCCGCAAGCGGAATGGGGTGCAACCATCAAAGTATTGCCGCTCATCGGATGGCTGCATTCGTATGGTAAGTACACACTTACCAAAACTCATAAAGTAAAAACATTTTCATTGGAAAATTGGTTTGCTTGAAGGCTTTTCACGCACTCGAAGCGGCACGCATGATCGAGAAGCATCCAGAGGGGGGCCGCAAGCTTACGCCCACTGGACAGCGGGACTTGGACCGCTTGGCCAACCAAATTGTGTTCAAGCAACGTAAAGTCGAGGATAAACCAGTAATCTGTATTGGAGACGATTAGAGCTAAATACGGCCAGGAATATAAAATAAAATGATTTGCGACTTTATTCTTAACATGCATAATGGGGGACGAAATGTGAGTACAGCAAATGTTAGCTGGTCCACAAATCGCACGACTTCTGGTTGGGTGGCACCTTGAAGCCACGCACTATTACATCCGACTGCCACCAGCCGCCACTCTCCTCAGTCGTTTCGCCACATTCCAGCTGCTTACTGCAGTCTTTTTCGGTGCTGTCCAAATGCATTAGACCCAGATCTCGGTAAATGGCCAACTCCTGGCAGCATCGCAGTGCGGCCGGTGGATTATCACTGGCATACAAGAGGTGCAAGTGCACATTTTTGCAGCAGCGCGGCAATTGACTCGGGATGGCTTTTGGAACGAGACTTGTGTGTTGCTGGTGCACTCCAGGCTCGTTGGCTGTCAGCAGTTCCAGCTCCAGAAACACATTCGTAGCTGTCAGCTGTGTGGAGAAGATGGTATAGAGCTCTTCGCAGGTCAACAGTCGGAGCAGTGCCTGCCTTATGCTGTCTTCGGACAGGGCATGGTTCTCGTAGTGATGGTGCCGGGCTATGGATGCGTGGGGGATGTGCAGAGTGTAGGCTTCCGTGGGCAAGAAAGTATTCGACCCAAATAGAAATCGTAGGCTCTTCACTTTCGAGGACTTGAAAGCTTGCCGAATGATCTGAAAGGAGCGTTGTGTTGTAATGGAATTTCTCTAGCACAAATATGCCTCACCTCTCTCATGTCACTGATGGATTGCCTAGTGGCCTTGGCCTTGGTGCGCTGCTGCTTGACCTGATAATTGGCAAATGACTCCTGCTTGCTGCATGGCTGCGCCTCGTCCTCCCATTTGTCGATGCAATGCTTATACATTTTGTACACGAAGGGAATCTGGCTGCGTTGGTAGAGCAGAAAGTCTAGAATGCCATTCACGAACTCCGCCGCAGTGCCCGTTGTCAGAACAGCTACATTGTCGAGCCTGAGGTCGATGTTCTTGACATTTTGATCCATTACAATCCGGATAATACGAAAATTTAAAATAAAAACAAAAATGCGCGACAGAAACAAAAACAAATTCTGGGGGTTGCCAGACACCAGACAGTCGCAACATTTAAATCGTGACTTGTCACGAATTGTCACAGAGCAGTTGCAACGACGGTCCAAAAAATTAGTTTGAAAATTAAAAATAAATTTAGATCAATCAAATAAACATATGCAAGGATTTAACCTTCAGAAATACACGAAATAATGTATTTTCTTATACAAAATCGTGCTACCAGACATTTTCATTTCATGCAGTGTGCCCGCACTGATATCGCAGCCGCAGCCAACTTCACATTGGCTATGACTGGTAAAAATCTGTTTGTTGCCGACAACATAAAAGAAAAAAGTGTATTGTATTAAAAATCGAAGACCACCAAATACAAGCTACTCAAAATGGTAAAGTGCAGCACATGCCCTCATGGTGCAACCTCATCAGTAAGTTAATTGGTTATGCTTGTGCGTTTCAGGGACAAAACCAATCGGCCCAGGGGGGATCTAGTGACAAGAAGGATGACAAAGACAAAAAGAAGAAGTACGAGCCACCAATTCCGACTCGGGTTGGCAAGAAGAAGCGCCGCGCAAAGGGCCCCGATGCGGCCATGAAGCTGCCCCTGGTGACGCCCCATACGCGTTGCCGCTTGAAGCTGCTCAAACTGGAGCGCATCAAGGATTACCTGATGATGGAGGATGAGTTCATTCGCAACCAGGAGCGTTTGAAGCCCCAAGACGAGAAGAACGAGGAGGAGCGCTCCAAGGTGGATGACCTGCGCGGCACACCAATGTCTGTGGGTAATCTGGAGGAGATTATCGACGATAATCACGCGATTGTGTCCACCTCTGTGGGCTCCGAGCACTATGTTAGCATTTTGTCGTTTGTGGACAAAGATCAGCTGGAGCCTGGATGCTCGGTGCTGCTGAATCACAAAGTGCACGCTGTTGTGGGTGTCCTCAGCGACGACACCGATCCCATGGTTACTGTCATGAAGCTGGAGAAGGCCCCACAGGAAACCTATGCAGACATTGGTGGCCTGGACACTCAGATTCAGGAAATCAAAGAGTCTGTCGAGCTACCGCTAACGCATCCCGAATACTACGAGGAAATGGGCATCAAGCCACCAAAGGGTGTTATCCTCTATGGCCCACCAGGCACAGGCAAGACCTTGCTTGCCAAGGCCGTGGCCAATCAAACTTCGGCCACGTTCCTGCGTGTTGTCGGCTCGGAGCTTATACAAAAGTATCTGGGCGATGGCCCCAAGCTTGTGCGTGAACTTTTCCGTGTGGCCGAGGAGCATGCTCCCTCCATTGTGTTTATTGACGAAATCGATGCCGTCGGCACCAAGCGCTACGACTCGAACTCTGGAGGCGAGCGCGAGATCCAGCGAACTATGTTGGAGCTGCTCAATCAGTTGGATGGCTTCGATTCGCGCGGCGATGTCAAGGTAATCATGGCCACGAATCGTATTGAGACGCTCGACCCGGCGCTTATACGTCCGGGACGTATCGATCGTAAGATCGAGTTCCCACTGCCCGACGAGAAGACAAAGCGACGCATTTTCACCATCCACACGTCGCGCATGACCCTGTCCACAGATGTGAACCTCAGCGAGCTGATCATGGCCAAGGATGATCTCTCTGGCGCCGACATTAAGGCTATTTGCACAGAAGCTGGTCTCATGGCACTGCGTGAGCGCCGCATGAAGGTGACCAACGAGGACTTTAAAAAATCCAAGGAGAGCGTCTTGTACCGAAAGAAGGAGGGCACGCCCGAGGGATTGTATTTATAAGTTACACTAACACACACGAAAATATATGTTCAGTTAATTTTGATAATTCCCAATCATATACATTAAAACAGATTAACGCTAGAATCCCTGGATACGAATAAATTCGCAGTTATTGGCAATGATGCGGCACATTGACCCAATAAATCGTCTATATAGGTGTCCTGTTTTCCCGAGACCACGTTTAAGGGCTCATTTTGATGATCCAAGTATTTAAAGTGCTGTTTTTCTGTGGCTTTTGCCAGTCTCAGCTCTTTGTATGCATCCTTTTCTTTTAATAACTTTTCATCATCCTTTGTGCCAGTTGCTGCAAGTGTGTCGAAAAATGAGCTGAATTTGGCCAATTCCAGGCCAACTTTTAGTCCATCCGCATATCCCTGATCGAAGCTAGTTTGAAAGACCCGCTCCCGTCCATCAGCAACACCATCCGCATAGCTTATCTGTTTGGAAAAAGAGTATCCTTTAATTCGTATACAAATTTATGAGTGTCAGCTGATTGTCACTCAAGTTGGCAGCGCCATGTCTGTCTATGGCGTGTCTGTGTTTTTACGTACCTTTTTCAACTTTTTCCTGAACGCGCTGGTAATTTGTCGAGCTTACCACTTTAAAGTCGAGTTCCTCATCAGAACTCGATCCCTGTGACATTATTGGAAATCCAAAAGGTGGCCAACAACTCAAATATCACTTCAAAACTGCAATGAACATTTCCCACACCACACCAGTGCTGCCAACTTTTCATCAGGAAAAAACGCCAATGGCCAAGAGACAAATAAAACTGAAAATTTCCAGAAATAAAGATAAATAAAATAAATAAAAAATAAAATATATGGGCTTACTATTAACTTCAGTGTTAACTCCATTAACTCATCACAGAATGCTATTGGGATGTAAATGTGGCAACTTAAAACAAAGCAGAAAAAAGCCAAACGCATTTCTAAAAAAAGCCAGAATTTCCGCTTCCCGCAGCTGGTTTACAAAACAGCCGATTGTACGGGAAAAAAGCGGACTTGGCAGCACTGCACCACACTTGGTGCCGGGCCACAACCATTCGCTACGAACCGTTTGTTTTGGTTTTTACGCTAAATTTGCTTTTAAAGATCCGAGACCTCTTCATGGCCGCTGAGGTGGCCCAACTGTTGCTGTCGGTTATCCAGGGAATACCCGCTGGGGCCACCAATGATGATCTCACCAAGGCCCTATCCGATGTGTCGGCAGCCACCCGAGTCGAGGGCCTCAACATATTGCTACAACAAGGCGGCATCGAGATCCTTAAGAAAGGAGAGAAGCTGGTCTATCGTGCCAAGGATCCGGAGAAGAAGAGCGCCCTGCCAAAAGATGCAGACAATGAGGAAAAAATCGTCTACGGGATTGTGGAGGAGGGCGTGAACAAGGGCATTTGGATACGAGACATTCGGATGAAGTCGAACCTGAATATGACACAACTGAATAAAATTCTCAAGAATCTGGAAACAAAGAAGCTAATCAAAGCGGTTAAATCTGTGAATGTAAGTGTATAGTCCATTCTGTTCTACGCTTAAGCATTAGCATCTATAGTATACCAAGTTCATTCGTTTTAGGCCAGCAAAAAGAAAGTTTATATGCTGTACAATTTGGAGCCGGATCGATCCATTACAGGCGGTGCCTGGTACCAGGATCAGGACTTTGAAGTTGAGTTTGTCGATGTCCTCAACCAGCAGTGCTTGCGCTTTCTGCAAATGAAGCGCGAGAATGCGGAAAAGAAGCGTGACGGCCCCTTGGCGCTCAAGCAAATGTCATGTTGCACCGTCAACGATGTCCACAAATTCATATCGGATTTGGGCATTAGCAAGGTGACCCTAGACGAGGATGATTTGGAAACCATTCTTAAGACGGTTGTCTACGATGGGAATGCGGAGCGCATAATGCAGCAGGATGGTTCCTATGTTTATAGGGCCATTAATTTACCCCTCCCACCGACTGGGTTGGTTCAAATGCCCTGTGGCATATGTCCTGTAATCAAGAATTGTTCCAATTGTGGCGATGTGACAGCCATTAAGTGTCAATATATGAAAGAATGGTTGGAGTAAAGAATTTAAAGAATTTAATTTTTGGTTTTTTGTTTCTTTCTTTAAAGAAGAGTCGAAGAATACATTTAACTAATCATCAGATTTACACATTTAAATATGTAAAGTTCCAAATATTTCCCAGCTTTAAGCCTTTATGAAATATCCGTCATAGGTTGAATAATCCATTAATTGTATTACTTTTCATCCAGTTTAAAGACTGACTTCGATGTATTCTACATTATCTGCGAGCACTGCATCGGACTCATTTGCCGCTTCTGCGTAACCAATTTTAAATGCCTTTTGTTCGCCCCTTGTAATTTCATTGAATTCGCAACAAAATTGGTCTGCAGCCTCGGGCGGCAGGGAAATTAATAGACCGCCAGATGTTTCTACAGATTTGCCAGCAAGTAATTTTGTGCTTTGGTCGACTAGAGTACTAAATTTCACAACATTTTTGATAATTGGCAATTTGTTGATCTTGAATAAGACTTTCTCCTTTTGGAATTGGGCGAGGTTCAAGGCATGACCAAGTAAACCAAATCCCGTCACATCTGTGGCACAGTGCGCCTGATACTTGTGCATTAAGAGAGCAGCGTTTTTGTTCAAATACGACATCGACTTCACTGCCATTTCAAAGGTCTCGAGTATCTCGCTATCTGTGAACTGCGTTAGCAGGATTTTGTGCTTATCAGTCTGATTAACTTGCCAAATATGTGCATTTGTCGCCAGCTGGGTTCCCAGTGGCTTTGTAAGCACCAGAGCATCTCCCGGTCGCCCATTGGATGGAAATATGATTTCGTCCTTTAGGCAGACAGAAGTCGCTACGCCGCCAATGATGCACCAAGGATTTAGCTTCAATTGCCTCAGCTTCAAGTTAATTTGGTTATATCCGTTTGTGGCCAATGCTTTTCGGAACCCTTGTATGATTAATGATGTAACAATATCACGTTGGTTGTTCGTAAACTCCGTTGATACACTTATTATCATCTCCAGCGAGTCAATTTCTGTCACACCAACGGCGTATAAATCACTCAAGACATTGGCAAGCGTGATGCTTCCCAATACCTCCGGATCATTTACCAATGGATAAAAGAAGTCGACAGTTTGTGCTAGCAAATATTCTCCTCCTCCGTGCCGTTTGAGTGGTACAACGGCACAATCCATTCCAGCGCCAATGTGGTGCTCATTTTCATTTGCGTTGGATTGAACTATTTCGGTTCCCCTTAGGTACTTTGTGAGTACATCCTGGGGGATTTTACAGCCTCATCCTCGGAGGGTGGAGAAATTGGTAAGTTGAAAATCGCTCTCAAGTCCATGTTTTTCTGGTCGAAACATTTTGGTAGCGTAGCAGCAGGAAGGTCTGGCCTGCCCGGTCGATGGAAGTCGGAGACGGGGGTATGGTAGACGTAGTGGTTATTTTGCCATTCGCCACGCAACTCGGTAGTATATACGTGGCTGTTGAACCTGTGATCAGTGCTGTTAACTTTTCATCAGAAAAAAAGCCGTTTCTAACTTGAACAAGAGAAAAAAAAAAAGCTGAGAAATTCCATGAAATCCCTTAAAAAAAAACGTAATGGGTTCACTAATTTAGAGTTGTTACAGTATTAGCTCCATTTACTAATCATACCTTATGAACATATTTCGATAGTATGCTTAAAACAAACCTTCCAACATTAAAAAAAAGCGGAAAAAAACAAAACGCATTTCTAGGAAATCCGAAATTCCCGCTTCCCGCAGTTGGTCTTCAAAAACAGCCAGATTTTCGGAAAAAAAGCGGAATCGGCAGCACTGATTCTGTGATTGTCAAAACGAAAATTCCGACAAAAGGCTACGAAACGAAATTAAAGTCAAGTGAATACGTATTAAGAATGCAATAATTGTGTGTGAGTCTCGTCTCCCCTAGGCTTACACAAGTGTGCTGGCACAATAAACCCCCAGGTGCAATAATTCTCTGCGAAATAAAAGCTCCGCTGACCTGCTAGAAATGGGTCTTTGCAAGTGCCCCAAACGATTGGTCACCAACCAATTCTGTTTCGAGCACCGAGTGAACGTCTGCGAGCACTGTATGGTTCAGTCGCATCCGAAGGTACATATGCTCATTCCACACACTACACCATAAAATGTATTTCGGGGTCTAATCCGCAGTGCATAGTGCAATCCTATCTACAATGGCTGCGGGATAGCGACTACATTTCCAACTGTAATCTGTGCGGGACCTCGTTAGAGCAGGGCGAGTGTGTGCGACTGGTTTGCTACCGTAAGTGGTGCCACATCAATGCCGGATTTTACCACTAATGACACTCGATTCTCAAATTTGTAGACGTCTTTCATTGGGACTGCCTGAATGCTCGTCAAGCCGCTCTGCCTGCCAACACTGCGCCACGCGGCCATCAGTGCCCCGGGTGCAGTGTGGAGATATTTCCCAACACCAATCTTGTCTCGCCCGTGGCGGATGCCCTGAAGAACTACCTGGCTCAAGTCAACTGGGGTCGCAATGGCCTGGGCCTGGCTCTGGTAAGCGGCTAAAGAGATATTATTCGCCGACTATTGCTAATTATAATGCTCTCCAAAAGCTCTCGGAGGATCAGAGTAGCAGTTTGAAGGCCATCAAGGCTAAGGCGGCCGTCAGTCAGGCGGCTGTTAGCAATATGACCAAAGTGCATCACATTCATTCCGGCGGAGAGCGGGAGCGTGCGAAGCCAAATGGCGGGGATGCCTCAACTCCACATTCCGTGCTCCTAATGGATGCATTTAATCCACCCAGCTCGGGCGACTTTAATGGTGTGTGCAACAGAATTTTCAATGTTTTGTGACTAATAGCATTCTGTTCATTGTGATCCCACAGCTAGCAGTAGGCGACCATTGCTGCCACGTCAGTCGCCCATTGGTGGGACGGATCGCGATGACAATAAGTACCAGCGTCGCACGCCGGCCGAGCTGTTCTCGCGTTGGACGCGTCGCTTCTATGCACCATCGTCGCGGCCACCGTGGCGACGCACTTGGTTTCTGGTGATCAGCGGCATTCTGGCCTTTGTCATGTTCATCTATCTGTTGGCATGGATGGGACGCAGTGGCTCCAACGACGGCCTGGACGAGAGCTGGAACAATCCGAATCCGCAACCGAATCACTACGAGTAAATTATCCGAGGAAAGTGTTATCCACGTGCATACGTAGTCTCTTATCCAAAGCATACAACCCTCCCCCTCCCGAAAGAATACAACTTTTACAGATATTTATATAATCTTAAATTCCAACGACAGAAAATAATACACATATTTATGTATATATAAAAGAAAAAAAAACTAATACAGTATTTGTTTAGTCAGAATGAGGTTTCAGAGTCTGCACTCCACTTGCCTCTCTGCGTGCCTTTGGCGCCGTCTGCTGCATACGCTTGGGCGCATCCAGGATCTCGTCGTATTCGTGCAGCTTCTTGGCCAGGAAGTACATCTCGGCCAGGGCTATGATGAGGGCCACAATCACGCCCAGCAGGATGCGAAAGCCAAAGGGCAGGGGACCAACCATCAAATTGACGCCAAAGAAACCAAAGGTGAAACCAGCAGCCACAGAGAAGACGAACTGCAACACCGCAATGATTTGCTTGTTCAGGCTTTTAACTACAAGAGAAGAGGAGAATTAGGAATTGCTCAATTTGAGTTGTCATCTCTACACACTTTGATAGGCTATGGTATCCTCTGGATAATGCTTCAGTCCTGCATCCACATTCTTGGTCATCTTGTGGTACTCGCGATTGTGCTGCTCAGCGCGAAGGCGTTCGCAGCGGGCCTCCAGCTCCGGGTTACGTGGCTTCATTTCATTTTCTGGCAATACCAGATCCGATGACTCGATCAATTCATAGAGAAAGAGATTGCAAATGCCATCTTTGCGCAACTGTATCAGAGTATCATTTAGCCAGTGCATGTCAGTCAGGTATAAGACATTATTGTATTCCGTCGGGGGTTCAGCATCATCTTCCTTTATCTCCTCGGATGACTTTTGGCCTTTGGCAGCCTTCTTATTCTTCTTGCCAGTCGGTTTGGCTGCTGGCTCTGGTTCCTCGGGCACATCGGCGCAGAGTCTACGCAACAGCGCTCGATCAATATTGGGGCGTTTAATGTTCAGCTCTTGCTCCTGGACAATCTGTGTGCTCAAAGGTAAAGTGTAGCCTTCGTTCTTCATCAGTTTGGCGACATTTTCCGGAACCTTTCTGAAGTGCTCTTTTTGGGCATCCAGGAACTCCAAAAGCGTCACCGACGGCACAAGGCGCACCCGAGTGTCTACGATTGTTGATTTGAGCATTTTAGGGCGTGTCTTATTTTGCAATGCTCAGCTTCAATTGGAGGTCAGAGTAGAGCTCGGCGATTTCTTCCTCCTTTTCCTCGAACGAGTTCTCTATGCGTTTGTAGCCGTGCTGCAGGTTGGTCAGAAATTCGGCTCTGCGCTGCTCACGTGACTGTCGTGCCTCCTGCAACTGTGCGCTGGCCTATAAATATAAAATGCAGTCAGTCATATTCGATAAGCCGGCGCCACCTCGATTATGTGCTGCTCTCAATTACCGTCCGTTCTACTTTGGCTTTTTCCAACAGGTTGTTGACCCCGCACAGAAGACTGTTCACTTCGGTACCCAGAGCGCTGAGGTTTTGGTTGCCCAACGCAATAAAACGCTCTGAAAGATCGTACTTGAGCGATCCTATGGTCTCGGTGACCTGAAAAAGTTTCTCCACTTCGCTGTCGTTGCGCCGTACCTCAAAATTGTCCAGGAAAGCTTCGATCTCGCCGTTAACAAACACGCGATGATCTAAAACGCGAAGCGGCACTTTGTACAACTCTGCAGCAGGATAAAATATTCCATTAAAGACGATTATACAGCAGTTTTTTCGAAACATTACCTCGTCCAACCTGGCTTATCATTATTTTTCAACCACCCCACAGCTGTCACATGAGAGCAGAAAGCGTGGGAGTTTTCCAGCACTGGCTTGATTGAGTTCGTTTTTTTTCCTCGGTATATTTACGGTATATTTGGTAATGAGAAGGTATATTTCAGTATATTTCGGGTATACATTGGCGGTATATTTTATGCGTAAGTCCACGGTCACACTAGGGCTCACGTTCTCCACTTTGCTTTCAAAATTAAGGAAAAATTGGCAAAATCTCGAGCAACTACCAGGATGAGCGAGGAATTCAAACTGCCAAAGCGCTCCCGGAAGCGCACCCGCGACGTTAAGCGCAAGGCCAGGCCAGAGCTGGACGGAGAAAACGCGTGGGTGGCGATGCGGTACTATGAGAACTTCGAACCATTCTGGGACTTTACTGATAATCTGGAACGAATCGACGATGCGGCGGTGTCGTGTGAGGAATTCATAGAACGCTTCGAGCGGCCCTACAAGCCGGTGGTGATACAGGGATGCACTGATGGTTGGATGGCTCTGGAGAAGTGGAACATGTCGCGGCTGGCCAAGAAGTACCGGAACCAGAAGTTCAAGTGCGGCGAGGACAACGAAGGATACAGCGTCAAAATGAAGATGAAATACTACATCGAGTACATGCAAGGGACGCGCGACGACAGCCCGCTGTACATCTTCGACAGCAGTTTTGGGGAGCACCATCGCAGGAAGAAGCTGCTCGACGACTACGTGGTGCCGAAGTACTTTCGGGACGATCTTTTCCAGTACTGCGGTGAGAATCGTAGGCCGCCTTACCGCTGGTTTGTGATGGGCCCCTCCCGCTCCGGCACTGGCATCCACATCGATCCGCTGGGCACCAGCGCCTGGAACACGCTCATTCGCGGTCACAAGCGATGGTGCCTGTTCCCCACGCAAACGCCCAAGGACTTGCTCAAGGTGACCAGCGCCATGGGCGGGAAGCAGCGTGACGAGGCCATCACCTGGTTCAGCACCATCTACCCGCGCACCAAGCTACCCTCCTGGCCGGAGCAATACAAACCCATCGAGGTGCTGCAGGGTGAGGGCGACACTGTATTCGTGCCGGGCGGCTGGTGGCATGTGGTCCTCAACCTGGACGATACCATTGCGGTCACCCAGAACTTCAGCTCGAAGACCAACTTCCCGTGCGTCTGGCACAAGACCGTTCGGGGCCGTCCCAAGCTGTCGCGGAAGTGGTTGCGTGTGCTGCGCGAGCAGCGTCCAGAGCTGGCGCAAATCGCCGAAAGTATTAATATAAACGAGAGCACCGGCTTTGCCTCGGATAGTTCTAGCAATTCAAGCTCCTCCTCGTCATCGTCATCCTCATCGTCGTCGGAGAGCGACGCGGATGCCGATTCCAATACGGACAGCGGGCAGGAGAGTCTCACCGCCAAAAAGAAGAAGAAGCGACGCATGGGCGGCGGTGGCTCCTCCATGGGCTCCACGCGCTCCTGATGCACGGAGCGGGCCAAGCGCAAAGGCTTGCTAATGCGCCTCTTTCACCGGCAGCTTATGCTCTGCCGTCGGCGTCCATGCTGCCGTCGCAGCTAGCACTAGATGATCAACTGCCCCCACCCCTTTAAATGTTTTAATATATTTTTCTACATAGACAAAACGAACACGAAGGACGGTCCCGCAGCCCGTGACATCTTTGGTTGCGCGTGCCTCCGCCTTCCGCTTGATTTAAATATTGTGTGTGTAATGCTATTAACTGACTCATTAGCTTAAACCATCCTTAAATGTGGCATTAAATAATTATTATCGAAATATATTTGTAAAAAACAACACCCCGGGTATTTAAGTGGGTGGAATCCATTCTCCATTCCATTATTCCCATAATAACTCCACGTTTTAATTATTTTTACAAAATTACTTTTCTCCGTTTTATTTAGAATTCTTTTTGTTTGCGATGTATAAAAAGGAAACAAAATTACATCGATGGACATGCAACTTACAAGATTTTGTTTAGCTAAATTATAGAAGGGGCGGGACCATTGTAGGCGGTGAGGTGTAGTATGTATAATGTTATTGCAGACCGTCTCGTAAACTAAATGGAATTTTCAATTTTTTGGGGGGACATTACACGAGTAAAAATATGATTGAAAAAAAGGGTAGATGATAGCTACAATTTTATTTATGGAACAGCAGCGTCGCTGAAAGCACTTGCTCTTAAATAAATCACCTTTAATTTGCTACAATTTGTTTTATTCATAATTATTATTAAAAGTTTGTTTTTGTTTCCCTTGCGCGCTCTCTCTCTCCTCTCGTCACATCACTCTCTGGATGTTGTTTCTTTTCTCTGGATGATGTTCTCGATAGAAAAGTAGTCATTTGAACTTTGATGTTGTTGAACGTTGTGTGGTTGCTGTTGTTTTTTTAAGAGTGTTTTTCTAATTACAGATGTACAGATTGTTTGAGTTTTCCCTTCTTTTATTATTATTTATGTATGAATTATTTTGTAATTGTGTATAAATTAGAAATTGCGCACGCAGCTTCGTTTTGCTTAAGGTCCGTTTTGTGGTAGGGTTTGGGATTCTCTTCTCTTCACTTCTGTTCTGTTTACGGTTCTGCTCTATCGTCGGGTATTTGAATTTTGTTGCCAAGTTCTTCTCTCAGTTTATGTGTGTGTGTTATTATGGTTTTTGTTGGTATTTAATTGTTAACTTAATCGATATACTGCGCTAACCAACGGAAACCCTCGCCGTAGCCCTGTCGCTTCAGCACGGAGCACATGAACAATTCCAATGGGCGGCCAGGCAGATCGGCACGTGCAACTTTGCCCTGAAATCCAGACAAGAATGTCAGTTTAAATAAGCTAAACAGAGAAGTGGGGACAGGACAGCCTACCTTGCCGGTTGTTAACTGATACAGTCCAAACACATTTCTCAGCTCGTCCTCGCTGGCCGCACCGGGCTTATCTATTTTGTTGCCCAATATGAGCACGGGGCAGTTGGACAGCGCCTCATCCGTGAGCAGCGAATCCAGCTCGTTTTTGCTCTCCTGGAAGCGGCCGCGATCCCAGGCGTCTATTAAGAACACAATTGCGTCGACAGCGGGGAAATAGTCCTTCCAGACGCGACGTGCTACAATGGGTCCAAATTTCAGTTTAAGTTAAGTTTGGCTAAACTGTGTTTTAAGAAAAAAGTAATTAGTGTATGTGAGTGGTCGGTGCCCCTTAACCTTCAACCGGCAATCTTTTTAAATTTACATAACCGCAGCGCAGACACGTTCATTGATATGATATCTTTTCAAAGCCAAGAGACGCTGCTGCCTGCCATCTTTTGTCCGTTCATGATTAGAGCTTGTTCCACAGCGAAACGAAACCGATCGTCACGATGACATGTTCTACTAATATAAATACATAATACGTAATAATGTGTTTCCGTGTGTGTTCGTACTTATTTGTGTTGGTTTATCAACTTATCAATTGCCCAAAAGGCCCGCATTTCATGCTTCATTCTTGCTATTGCTAGCAGCTACTACTCCACTTCTTTATTTTGATTGGTTTTATTTCGGTGCACATTCCGTGTGCACGCTCTCTAAATAGTTAATAAACAAGTTTTTGATTCTTGTTGATCTTGGGCGTTTTGTTGTTGTTTGTTTTGCGTTATCTTTATAGAATGTTTGGTTTGTGCACTTGTAAATTATTTACACTAATGCAGAGGTGCACACAGTGGTTAAACGATTCAACAAGGAAATATTTTTTGTTTTCCTTTATATGGAGGAAAATGTTGTTGCTATAAATAAATAACATTTGAATCGTTTTTTACGGCACTTCGTACGGAAATGATCCACTGTGAGCAGTTAAAGATCGGAAATACCTAAGAGGTGTGCAACAGGGCTTGCCTCTTCCTAAATGCTTTCAAAGTTTTAATTTGCCAAAAGTTCACCTAGATTAAAGGTCGTTCACAGTTAGACCTTCGAGACGAATAGATCTTTGACCACTGTAATGGCATTTCTATGAACGCTCGACTGCCTGTGGCTGATTGAACGCAACAAATGTGCAAAAGTACAACAAGTTGTGGGTCTCTGTATGGGTGACCCGCTGTGCTATATTTCACGCTGATTGTCGCTGAATCTCTCTGGCTCTTTTGCATGTGTCGCCGCCCCGCCTCGTGTGTTATATGCAGCCGAGTGGCTATATTTAGAGTAAGGGCACACATTCGGAAAAGCTCAAAAATAATTTATGAGTGCTCTGGGAGGACAAACAGTGCTCCTTGTTCCAATGGAGCTCAACTTACCCTGAGTGTGGCCACCCAAGTCGAATGTGGTGAAGCGCATATTGCCGATGGACAGCTCCTCGGACGCTGCAAGGGATCAGATTAATGAAGGGTTTTCATTAGAAAGGAGAAATAATCCATTGGGGACTACTACTCACTGGGATGCAGGGTGGGTACATGCTGCGCCAGCTTATCATCTTTGAGCATGTGCAGTAGCGTGGTCTTGCCAGCATTATCCAAGCCAAGGAACAACAATTTGCCAGATTTTTTCCACAGACCTGCAAGTAGTTGGAAATTCTAGTTGAAAATATGTACCAAACGAAAAACATGCGGGAAGGTCAAATAATTCGACTAAATCGTCATCAATTAATACACGCCGCTAAACCAATACCAAAACGACATCTGTGCACACGGCAGCAGCAGACACGCATACATTAGTCAAATTTTTCGGTGTTTCTTCTGTCTGCGTTTCAACGTCTGGTCTGGCCTGGCCTGGCGTTGCTTTGTTGGCAATCTATCAAGAAAAGCGACCGACCGACCGCCCGCCCCATGCCCTCCGTTCAGATCTCCGGTGCGCTTACCTAAGTATCCTAGGACTCCGGTGAACCAATCCCAGATGAACATCTTGGCTTGTGGTGTTGTTTGGGGTCAGATAATGGCCGAACCTCGAGTGTGAGAGTGTTGTAGGGGGGAAAGAAGAGTGCTGGCTGCTGCTGCTCCGCTAGACTATAAAGAGGGTGAGAGAGAGAGCTGCGTTACAGGCGGGTATTACACGGTCGTTGAGTCGCAATTTGCTACAAGTTCAATGTCCAGTCGAAAGCAACAACAACAACAGCCTTATGTATAGGAAATCAATTTCCCCATCTAGCAAGTGTTCTTGAGGCGGCCGAACGTAGCATCGCTACTTCCGGACTCAACAGCCGATGGCGGCCACAGTGACGAAGGGGGCCTTGACACAAATTAATTTTGTGAGACATACGCGGGTGCTGCTTCTGCTCTGTGTTTTATACAATATACACTTTACATGGCAATTCACAATTATTTTTTTTAGCAATTATAATTAGGTTAAAAACCTGTTCTTTGTCAACACTTTCTTTCTTTCTTTTACATTTCATGGCGCTCTCTCTGTGTGTTTGTGTGGAGTGGCAGTATGGGTGCGCTGGTGCTACTGTGTGTGTGCTGCTGTCACTGCGTCTGTATGTGTGCGTGTGTGTGGGAACTACGTGGTAACACGCATTATACTTTATAATATCACTAAAGTTTTGCACAATTTCGTAATCACACTTTGGAACCAGCCACGAATCGAGTAACCCCCCGCCATCGGGAGCATGAACGCCGCACCCTTAGGCGGCGCAGCACACGGCACTCCACCTCCTTATAGGACGACGTTCAAAAACAGCAGACATTATTTTGCACTACGTGGACGCCTTTGAGGCTCTCGGATTGGGTTTTCTGTTTGCAGTTTGCCGTTTGCTCGGTTGGTTTCCCATACGGCTGGTTGTTGCTTGTTACCGGACATTGTACAGGTGCTTTGAGGGCCTTTCTTGTTGATTAATAATCAATTAATTTACTTTTTCTACCTCACGTTTTATTTGGAGTCAGTTTCAGTGTGACAGTGCGCCCGTTCAGTTATTTCTCCGCGGACTTATCGATAGAATATACCGCCTGACCCTCAGAAATATACCCAAATATACCTTCTCATTTCCAAATATACCCTAAAAATACCGAGGAAAATCATTTTTATCAATTTTGATATTAAATTTAATATTACTTGGTAGTTAGGACTTTAACAACTGAAAATATCATTTTATCAGATAGATGAATCAATTTTCTACAATCTGGCTTATTTAAAGGACAACCATTTATTGGATTACTTATAAAAAAAGGCTTAAGCAAAAAATCAAAATGAAAACGGAATGACACGTTTTAAGCCATGAGTATGGATATTGTGTTTCGATACGCTATGTTTTTTAATTTACCGAGAAAGATCTTAGAGGTCGGAAAATGTATTCATTGAGCGTCCTTTAATAGAGTCCCCACTGGATCTTTTATCCTGCCTTGTCCTGAATGTAGTATCGATCCGACTGTTTCGTGTGACCAAATGCAGTACAACTGACATGGTCACACTTTTGGCTTGAAATCCCGCGGCCATCATTGCGAATCCGCCATTTTGCGTAAAGCGCGCTGCCGAAGCACAATTTTTTTTTTACTTCAGAGAAAAGTAAGTGATTTTTAATCACGAAATTTTGTCCCCATCATTGTGAATAATCTTACAGGAAATATTCTGCACGATGCCGGGTGTTACTGTGAAGGATGTGGACCAGCACGTTCTAACCAAAGTGCTGTCTGCTTTCTTAAAAAAATCGGGCAAGATTAATGTGCCTGAACAGGTGGACTACATTAAGACGGGCAAGTTTAAGGAAACGTCACCGACTGAACGCGACTGGTTCTACACTCGTTGTGCCTCCATAATGCGGCATCTGTACTTTCGTAGTCCGGCTGGTGTAGCCGCCTTCACAAAGGTGTACAGTGGCCGCAAGCGAAATGGGGTTCAACCATCAAAGTATTGCCGCTCATCGGATGGCTGCATTCGTATGGTAAGTACACACTTACCAAAACTCAAAAAAAAAAAACATTTTCATTGGAAAATTGGTTTACTTGAAGGCTTTTCACGCACTCGAAGCGGCACGCATGATCGAGAAGCATCCTGAGGGCGGCCGCAAGCTTACGCCCACTGGACAGCGGGACTTGGACCGCTTGGCCAACCAAATTGTGTTCAAGCAACGTAAAGTCGAGGATAAACCAGTAATCTGTATTGGAGACGATTAGAGCTAAATACGGCCAGGAATATAAAATAAAATGATTTGCGACTTTATTCTTAACATGCATAATGGGGGACGAAATGTGAGTACAGCAAATGTTAGCTGGTCCACAAATCGCACGACTTCTGGTTGGGTGGCACCTTGAAGCCACGCACTATTACATCCGACTGCCACCAGCCGCCACTCTCCTCAGTCGTTTCGCCACATTCCAGCTGCTTACTGCAGTCTTTTTCGGTGCTGTCCAAATGCATTAGACCCAGATCTCGGTAAATGGCCAACTCCTGGCAGCATCGCAGTGCGGCCGGTGGATTATCACAGGCATGCAAGAGGTGCAAGTGCACATTTTTGCAGCAGCGCGGCAATTGACTCGGGACGGCTTTTGGAACGAGACTTGTGTGTTGCTGGTGCACTCCAGGCTCGTTGGCTGTCAGCAGTTCCAGCTCCAGAAACACATTCGTAGCGGTCAGCTGTGTGGAGAAGATGGTATAGAGCTCTTCGCAGGTCAACAGTCGGAGCAGTGCCTGCCTTATGCTGTCTTCGGACAGGGCATGGTTCTCGTAGTGATGGTGCCGGGCTATGGATGCGTGGGGGATGTGCAGAGTGTAGGCTTCCGTAGGCAAGAAAGTATTCGACCCAAATAGAAATCGTAGGCTCTTCACTTTCGAGGACTTGAACGCTTGCCGAATGATCTGAAAGGAGCGTTGTGTTGTAATGGAATTTCTCTAGCAAAAATATGCCTCACCTCTCTCATGTCACTGATGGATTGCCTAGTGGCCTTGGCCTTGGTGCGCTGCTGCTTGACCTGATAATTGGCAAATGACTCCTGCTTGCTGCATGTCTGCGCCTCGTCCTCCCACTTGTCGATGCAATGCTTATACATTTTGTACACGAAAGGAATCTGGCTGCGTTGGTAGAGGAGAAAGTCTAGAATGCCATTCACGAACTCCGCCGCAGTGCCCGTTGTCAGGACAGATACATTGTCGAGCCTGAGGTCGATGTTCTTGACATTTTTGTCCATTAAATCAGAATAACACAAAAATTTAAACTAAAAACAAAAATGCGCGGCAGAAAAAATAAACAAATGCATGGGGCTGCCAGACACCAGACAGTTGCAACATTGAAATCGTGACTTGTCACGAATCAATCACGGGTCAACGACGGTCCAAAAAATTAGTTTGAAAATTAAAAATAAATTTAAATCAATCCACATATTCAAACATATTCAAGGATTTAACCTTCAGAAATACACGAAATTATGTATTTTCTTATACAAAATCGTGCTACCAGACATTTTGATTTCATGCAGTGTGACCGCAGGTTTTTCGATCAAATATACCGTCTCACCGGCGGAAATATACCGTACTATAATGTGCTATAAATGTACTATAATGATCGCATGAACGAACTTTGTCCACTTAACCCCGCTATATTTGAACAGGAAACAGCTTGAGTTAAACCGCGAAAAAGAATACTGTTTTAAATTCTTTTTGTAGATCCATACAACCTCTTTAGGCCCCTAAAAGGCCCCCTATTATGGAATTGTTAACAAAATAGGATTTAAGCAAAACAAGTCAGAGCATAAAACATAAGTGTGCACGGATACGACGTCATTGCCGCTGGTCAACCAGGTTTCCGGACATTTGTATACCCTATTTCCTTGAATTAATGTTAAATTTGTTGTTCCAAGCTGCTTTAAAACATTAATATTGAATTTGTCTCAGATTGCCATGTTTTTAATCTATTCATTCCTCGGTGTCTGTAGGAGTACCATAAACTGCAAAATTACCTTGCATATAGATTGAATAGTTTCTTACGTTAAATAAAACACAAGTCGATATTTTCTTAAATATTTAAAATTTATTGCATTAACTGTATATATGTATGTATAGCTGATATTTTATGGGATTTTTCGGAGCTAGACATAACGAGTTTTTCATGCTAAGCGGCATGCCAAAGGGGGATCGGTGCAGGATCTTACAATTAAATGGGGTAAGGGGGTTGTAATACCTAGAGTTAAAATAGAAGATGAATTATTTGTTGATATGTTAGCTGCTTGGTTCGACTTAGGAGCTAGACTTAGACCCTAACGATATGGTTTGATTTGGTTGCTTGCAAACGTCTCACAAATGTACAATTCGATTCTGAAACCCGAAGACTAAGAGATAGTGTAGATAATACAGCGCTTACGGACTAACCATTAATTAGAATATGTTCCGCTCGATAACTAGTTCGTACTCATTTCCATCCATCCATCCATCCTTTGCACTTTCCTGTGTGTGTGGAGGGATACGAATCGATCGACTTACAGACTAAACAAGAATACACAACTCCAAAGAAGCTTTCGCTTTCGCTTTCGATTTGGTTTGGGTCGATGTTTCATGGCAGTGAAGTACCCGCCCCACCCCCTCCGCCTTCCTAGCAGTTCATGTAGTTGGGCGACTCCGTCTCTGGCGTGGGTTCCACTTTGGCAGCGGCCTCTGGCGCCTCTCCACCCACGTTCTGATAGACCTCGGCCTGGATCTCGATGCTGCCCACCTGGGGACATGGCACTGCCAGCTGCTTGGGCTTGAAGCTGCTGCAGCTGGAGGCGGAGGACGCGGAGTGGCTTTTGGTCAGCTTCCCGTAGATGATGTTGGAGCGCTCGTTCAGCTTGATGGGCTGCAGGGTGACCCCGTTCTGGTTCTGGTAGTGCTGCTGGGTATCGGCATGCTCCTTCGCCTCCATGATGGTGTTCAGGTAGTTGCTGCTCTGGGAGGAGGCCAGCGGCTGGCTGCCGTACACGGGTATGTTCGAGGGGAACATCTGATAGTGTTCGGATGCGGACCCGGTGGGGCTGGTGGGCGTGTGCAGGCGCTGGCAGCTGGACATGGGCGAGGGGAAGACGATCTGATGGCGCTCATCGCCCGGCGTGGAGCTGGGCGTGAACACGGGACGTGGTGGCGGCGGCACCAGATAGTTGTCCATCAGCGATCCATGGGCACCCAAACGGCAGTTGTAGCGCCGATCCTCGTGGTCCGAGTGGGTGCCAGAGTCGCCCAGGGAGGCGCCGCTGCAATTGCTGCCCGTGCTGAGGCGGCCCGAGGAGGAGCTGCTGCTCGACACGCTCTGCAGGCTGAGGGAGCTGATGGGACGTGCGCCCGACTTGAAGCTGCAGCTGGTGGCAATCGAGCTCTTGGTCTCGTCCAGCAGGCTGTCGGCACAGCTGCCCGGATGCTTCTCCCCCGGCGACATCTTGGGACGCGAGAAGAACTTCTTGATGCGCTCGAAGGGCGTCTCTCGCTTCAAATGCGATCGCACCTGCTCGTGGATGCGCTCGTACTCGCGTCGCAGCTGATCGATCTGGTCCTGCTTCTCGCGGAAGCTCTGCTGGACATCGTTTCGGTGCTTCCAGCGCTCCACCAGCAGCTCCACATCCCGAATGGAGAGCACATTGTTCTTGAAGTCGTGCATGATCTCGGCCAGCTCATCGTCGGCGTTCGATCGATTGTGGCTGTTGGCAGAGGCATCGCTGGAACTGCGCTTCAGCGTACCATACCCTGGCTGATGATTGTGGCTGAAGCTGTGGCCACTGCCCGCCTGTCCCATGGCCAGTCGCGTTGTCGAGCGGCTCATCCGCAGATGCTCCTCCACGGGCCGGTTCGAGGGCTGGAACAAGTAGTTCCCATCATCCGGGGGGCAGCTGTTGGAGGTACTGCTGGGTGCAGGACTATTCACGGGCACGTTCGAGGGCTGCAGCACGTAGTCGTTGCCGGCCACGGCCTGGTTCTCCAGCAGCTGCGAGCACTCCTGGCTGAATTTGTCCGTTTGGTAGAGTGGCGCCACTGGCGCATCCACCACATCCTGGGACTTGTTCTGCTCCTTGGACTGGTAGTAGGGCGGTTCGTTGATGCGCAGCTCGTTGGTGGTTTGCTCGGGTCCTGGTCCCGGTCCTGGCGAGGCTGCAGCCTCAGGCATTGCCTCGGGCAGCTCCTTCTTCGAGTCCAAGTTCTTCTCCGCCGCCGAAGCCTGCAGATTCTCATCCTCCGTCTCCACACTGATGTAGTTGAGATTCGAGATGGCCAGCGTCTCCGTTTTGGGACGCACCTCGGGCGTGTTCTCCCGCTCAGAGCCGCTCGACATTTCCATGTACTCGGCGGACGGCAGCTGCTTTGGCGGCTTGCCAGAGGAGGATTTGGTCTTGCCGGGCACCGCCTCAATGACCACCGGCTTGGGGCTGCTCTCGCTGGAAGCGGCCGTCGGGGAGACGCCCTTGAAGTAGTGGTACATGGTCGTGAGCTCGTGGAACTCCGAGAAGCTGACAATGTTCTGGGCTAGCTTGTGGTGGCCCTCCTGCTCGGCCAGCTCAAATGGCGTACGGCCAGCGCAGTTGCGGACGCCGCAGGCAGTGTCGCCGCCGGGGCACTCCATCAGCTGGATGCAGAGGCGGTTGAGGCCCCAGCGCGCGGCAAAGTGCAGCAGGGTGGGGTACTCCTCCGGACTGGACTCGAGGCGTGTGAAGAAATGCGGCTGCTTCTCGCAGGGGCCGTTCAGCAGATGGAAATTGGGGGGCATATTCCGCTGGAAGCACTGCAGCAGATGCTGATCGAGGGCGTCCCTCTCCACGGGCCCGATGCCCAGGGCATGGCACATGAACTCAATGGGCGAATCCTCCACGCGGAGCAGCTGCTCCAGCTCCCTGAGGCGACTCTCGCACTTGATGGGCCGCGCGCCCAGGCTCTTGTTGTTCTTCTCGATGCGGATCTCGATCATCGTGGAGATCTCCATGCAGGCCTCTGGTATGGAGAACTGCAGGGTGTACGGATTGCGGCATTTGAAGTTTCGCAGCTCAATCAGTTCGCCGGACTTCTCCACCAGCAGCTTGAGGGTGTCGTTCTTCTCCAGCGGCTCGGCCAGCATGGCCACCACCTTGTTCTGGCCGAGTTTCACCTTCTTCGGCAGCACTGTGAATCCCTCCGCGCAGCTGGAGAAGCTGCGCGAGAGGCCGCTACTGTTGCCGCTGCCGCTGTCCTGGCAGGGAGGCCGCTGGCACAGGGCCCGCCCCAGGATGTCCGTGGCAATGCCCAAAATGTTGCTGATCTGCACCTGATCGTTGTCGCGCACCACACAGCGGCGCCACTTGTAGTAGCTCGGCAGCGCAGCCTTGTGCATCTCCTTGACCTTCTCCTCGGCCACATCCAGCAGTATGGCCAGCACCTTCTCCACCCGTATAATCGCCGACAGTTGGGCCATCAGGAAGCTGTGGGGCAGGGCCAGCAGCGCGGGACACAGAATGACAATCTGCAGTGCAGTGTTCTGGTACTTTTGGGCGATCTCCTCGCTGAAGGGGCCATCGTCAATTTTGATGTGCAGAAAACTAAAGGAAAAAGGTTAACAGTTAATACTTGCGTGGATCCCGTACAGCTGCAGTACTCACTTGAATGGTTTCCGTCCGCGCTGTTTGGTGATCTTGTCGAAATGGTTCTTCAGGAAAGTGGCCCTCAAGTAGGCGCGCTCGCTGTGCTTTGCCGTGATGATCAGAATGTCGTCCATGTTGTAGCCGATGCAGCCGCTGGCATTCGCTCCACTTGTGTTGTTCACGTTGCCGCAGTTGTCTGCAAAATGATTGGAAAAGATCGAAGAGGAGCGATCAGCAAAAAGTACTGCGACTGGCGCGACTCAAAGTCGTTCGAATTGGAGTTTTTTAGCTGATAAGCAGCGGCCCACAGCGACCCCAAAAATAAGTAATCTACACAAGTATTTGTACAAGTCTCTCCCTCCGAGAGTGGAGTGGAGTGGAGCGGAGCGGAGTGTGTGTACGAGTATCTGTGTGATAAATAATGTGTTTACTTAGGATTTGACTTGCGTGATTTGTGACCTCTTCAAATAGATCTTCCTTTTTGGGCGACACACACTTGTTTGCCTTTCGACTTTCGGCTACGAATTTGTGAGTTCTGATTTGAAGGACTCCACAAAGAATGGACACACACACATACTACATGTACGAGTGGTGGCAGTGTGTCCACTCGCCGCTTATCGATGGGCTGCAGGAGCATTTGTGAGGCTTTGTTTCAACCGAAACCCCAGTGAGCTACCATGGGAAATAGATCTAAGAAGAGTCACCTGAAGAAACTTCAGATAAGGATAAGGATACGATTCTAGAACCCTTCGAAGAAGGTGATTAAATTTAAAAACTTATGAAGCAAGAGTTCTGAATATTTTCTTTCTGTTCTTAGCATGGAAGATTTCCGGATCTTTTCACATTCCACAGCGACACATCCAAGGCGACTGTTGGCTGGCTGCTTTTAGTCAGATGAATGTTGGGATTTGGTTTTTAGTGCAACGAAAACACAAAAAGAATTTAAACGAAATAAAACAACATAAATTATTTCAGTGGTAGACAAACATTTCGTCAGTGGGGTGGATTTTAGATTGTCTCCCGTTTTAGCCATATAAATTAGCCGCACGCACTGAATGGACTGATCAGTTGTTGCATGCCCCAAGCGATGCGTTCCCCATACTCAGAGTTACCGTTTGGCCCATAAATTCAGTCACGTTTAGCGCATTTAAATAAATCTCTACGAAGAGGAGACACGCAAACACACACACACACATACAGACACGATGGGGCTATGGAGCGATGGATGCGAAGACAGGCAGCGATGTTATCTCTTGGCCAAACCGAAATTTACTGTTGCATCTGCCTCAATCTGAACTGCTTGACACCCACAAATGGCGGGCAGCAGCATCCGTGGCATCCATCCGCGTCGACTGCGACACAGCATCTCCCTTGTGCCTCTTCCTGTTGCCTGTTGCTCTTTGCTTTGCTTTGGCTTTTCTTCTGCCTCCTTCGTTTTCTCTACTCTTTCGCTTCCTCTGCCTTTCTCTGCCCTGCCCTGCTGCAGCTGCTCCTCATTATGGGGCACAGAGGCAGCAGGCAGCCAGCAAGGAGCTCGCTCTGTTTTTTCCCCTTGATTTTTATGACATGGAAGCGAAGAGTGTAAAAATAAAGAAGATCCCAGTTCCGATACCCTATACAGAGGGTATTTTTATTTGGTGGAGAAGCATCGGAAAGAGAAAATTTATTTGCTGAATTTCTGCCAGAAGTAAAGCATTCAGAATAACCATTATATTTTGTATATTGCCACATAAATCTGATAGATGAATTTGTCCTCTCGAAGGAGGACTAACTAAGAATACCTTTGGGTTTCATTTAATCAAAGCTTCCAACTTGGAATTATTATATTCCTCTTGGCAGTCCCAAGTTCCTATCGTAACATCCATTTGATTATTGTATATTTCCAAGTAAGAATAGTATTATGTATCTACATATGTTGTAGCTGCAAGAGAAATTTAAAATGCTATTCTCACAGCTGGGTATTTTTTATGCATATTTCACATGCAAAATTATTGCCCCACATATTTTTTTGGATATATTCTAAAGAAAGAAAATAAAAGGCGACAACATAATTAATTTGAATTTTTGGCAGTTTCTGAAAGCTATCCTCTACCCTTTGCAGTGATTAATGGCGTTTGAATCCTGAAGCCTGATGTAGTATCTATCTTTTTTACCAAAACTGTCGATCCTCCTACTCTTCCGGTTCTACTTTAAATGGCTTTTGTTCCTCTGTGGCTTCTTTTTGCTTGTGGAAACTTTGATTTTGTGATGGAGGCTGACATTGTCTGGATGTTGGATTGAAATTTATTTCTCAATTACATGGCAGACGACAGTTTTGTCGACGCGGCTGTTGAGAATTGCCAACAGAATGCAGAGTGCAGATCCCGATCCCCTGTCTGAGCATTGCAGGCGCATCCCTGAACTGCGAGTGTGGACTATATATTTAAGCATCTGAGTGCTGTGCTGCTGGAACATCTGGTAATTGTTAAATCGCGAACCGGACTCTTCTCCAAGACACAAAAATGGCCTCCCTTTGTTCAGCATCTTTGTGCTTCTGGGCTTTCGTTTTCGTTTTGCAATTTGCAAATTTTGTACGAGCATGCACTTGGCTTTCGGCCTGTGATCGATCACTTTTTAATGGATCCAGCTGCATCACAATCTCCCTAATGGGCGGCCACTCACTCATCTCCATGTCCACATAGTCCAACGCCTGCACATCGTCCGCATCCTCCTCCTCATGTCGCTGGGCCTGGACACAGCCAAAGAGGCGACAACTGCCCTTTGCAGGCATATTTACTGGTACACTCTGATTTCTTGTTTCAATTATCTTTTCAAAAATATACTTCGCACAAGTATGTACCAATGGAACACAGAAATTTATTTTTTACGCGCCACAAACCGCCTCGAACATTGCGCTAATTGTCGTCGCTGCAGCCACATTTCGAATGGAACTGTCCGCACACAGCGAGTGAGCACAATCAGAGATGGCCTAGGATTATGCCATTAATTAATTGATTAAAATAAGCGCCACTATACGAGTGTGTGTGTGTGTGTGTGTGTGTGTGTGTGGGAATATCTGGTTTAATTTAGTTTTGGTTTTAGTTTAGGATGCTGTCATGAAGAAAGACTTTAAGTTGAGTCCAGATTTGGTCTCTAAGAAATTAAAGGCCTATCCTTGTGCAAAATGATTTCTGAACTTGCAAGCAATACTTATAGACTTTAATAGAGAAAGAGTTTTTATTTGTTTTTAAGTGAATAATCATAAAAACAAAGAGTGTACCTGAAATCATTGCTCAATTTTAATTTAAATAAACTTTATCTTAAGCCTAAACGAATGGGGATTGAAGGGGTTCAATCTTCAAAGAATCTTCACCATTAAATGGACCATCAATCCCCCAATACAAAAATATTCCCATCATTCCGGGAATCCTCTTTATTGCTGCCTGTTCCAAGTGGATGGCAACCCCCATCCCATACACAAATTCACGTATTCCTAAATAATTCATCAAAAATGTTCTTCTAAGTGAATTTAACTTATGCTCGCATGATTTTTATGATGATATGTGTACAGCGGGGGGCGGGGTGGACGGGGGATGCCGCCTCTTCAGAGGGGACACAATTTGAATAAATGCCAACCGCCCAGCGATGGGATGGGATGGGTGACACTTTACTTCTTTTTAGCAACAGACATAAATCAACGAAAAGCGAAACAAAAACAAACAAAAAGAAGAGAGAAATACGAGTATAAATGCGGGATTAAATGCGGGGACTGCGCAACGTTGTCCGCAGGGGTTGTGCCATACAGGGGGGGTAAGAGGGTGCTATGGGGCAACCGGACGACACACAAATTAACCCTCCCCCTTTTTCGGGGACAACAAATAACTCAAACCAAAAACCAAAAAAAAATATGTGCATATGCCCGTAGAGCAAAACATGTGTAGAGGAGGCGACCAGACCCCATCATAACAATACCATACGCCTCATTGGAACCCCCATCCACTAGATTACATACATACATACATATGTATGCATATGTGTACGAGCATTCACATAACAATTATCATTTAATTATGTCAACTGTAACTTAATTATGCGCATATATCTTTTAATTTGAGGCCAGTTTTTCCTTTGGGTTTTGGTTAATTGTCCACTTCCTCTTGAGATTGCAGCATTCCTCCTTTCATTCATTCACGCATTCCCCCCAATTATTCACTCAATTGGTCACAGCATTCGCTTCAGCCCGAGATAAATCCTTTCCCCAAAGCAGATTGTTCTTAACTGAAGTAAAATCTAAAATCAACAATAAAATTCACTGACAGATCTTAGCAGATATTAAAATTCTCATAGATACATATGCATATGGAGATATTTAGCATAAATATTCTCTGCGCCTGATCTCACGCTTCAATTATTTGCTGGATCTCAAATTTCACATGGAAATTCTCTGCTCTTTTTTTGTTTGTTAAATCTCATTGTTCACATCAAGATTTGTATTAATTTAGATTTAGTTCACACTGGGCAAAACTCATAAATGGTTTAAATTGTTTTTAGTTCTAGTTTCGTGGCCCCTAGGCATGAATCTGGCAGTTCCACTGTCCCACAGTTCTCCATTCCACTGCTGATGTTCGTTAAATAGAAATTGTTGTTCTCATTGTCTCCGAAAGAGATCGCTCTCTCTCTCTCTCTCTCTCTCTTTCTCGCTGTGTGAGAATATTTGACAGCTGGACATTGGTCATGGGTCCCAGCAGGAGAGCATGAGAGATGGGGGTATACTTATGGGGATGGATGGACTGCTGGATGGATGGATGGGATGGTCAGTCACAACGATTATAAATGACATTGTATCTGCTGTGTACCTCTCTGAATGGACCTGCATCTCCCAATTCTGATGGCAATCTGTGCTTTGGATTTGGGTTCGAGAGAGGTCACACAGATTTGGGACAAAGTCAGCTATAATTGCAGAGCCGCAAAAGCAGAACGAAAGTGATTGAAGTAAATATTCCCAGAATATCTCCAGAACTCTTCCAAAAGTTCTCCTCCGAAGCTTTGCCCCTTCGCTGTTGACCCAGTAAATGGTGAAATTTATTTTCTCATTGAAACGTCTAATAATGAAAACATTTAAAAACACATCATAAAATGGTGCTGCATCCATAACATTGGATGGTTCATTCCACCAGCTAAAGAATTTCCAGCTAAAAGCAAACATAAACAAGAATT